AGGCCATATGCATCGTTATCCACCACAGTTAAATCCAACACTCTCATGCATGTAGTAGGTGCTCAATGTGCATTTGTTTATCATCTAGCAACAATATCCAGAAATATGTGTCACCTGTGTAATTTAGAACCTTCTAGTATCCACATTTTAAAAAGTAAAAAGAAAGGTTTTCATGGTATATTAATTTTAGTAATTGTTTTATTTAATCAAAAACATCTAAAGTATTATTATTTCATCCTACAGCACAAGCTGCATTTCAAGTGACTAGTGGCTCCCATATTGGACAGCACAGATCTAAAGCAGTGCTTTTAAAACTGTGTTCAGGTACATATGGAGTAAATGGGATAAATGAACGAGACTGTTCATAGCCAGTGGCAACAGACCCAGAGGCTCAGGCTGCCTGGGTCCTGCTTAATTTCCCTGAGAGCTGAGGGAAGGAAGGAATTTTCCTCTGCCTGAAAGGTTCCTTCAGCTGGTATAATAAGTCAATAGACATGACACACATTAGTGAAGAGAAATGACCAAATTTAAATTGCATACAATGTAAGGGAACCCTGCTAACTTAAGAGAGTCAGAAACCACATACAGGACAGGTTCAGAGACAAAACAGGCACCTGAGGTGTACTGTCCAAGGCCTTTTGAGCTAGGGAGGAGGCAATGCACTGTGAGACTTCAAAAGATAATTGCGAGGAGAGCACATATTTAGGAATTACTAGTTTGCTCTGCCATATAGGAATGTAAAAAGTCATTTCTGGTGGTAATTCTCATTGTGACCCAACATCCTGATTTAGATTCTTCTAGATAGTTAAGGGGCAAGCAGAAGTCTCTCTTGAACCTGTGGTGTCTAGTTTGCCTTTAGCTCAAAATAATCTGCATCCCAGTGAAGCACGTCTTGGGGTGGCTCGTTCTGAACCCCTACACCATCTGTAACTCTTACCCTTATACATAACCATTCTGCCAGGCACAACAGTGGGGACGTATCCGCCCAGGGATTTCCAACCTTTCCAAGTGATAGACCCACTGACCCACGTACATGATAGTGGCTGTACTCTTAGAACCAATTCTTAAAAAAATAGGTAGCAAATATATGATAGACCAAATATATACACATCTAATATGTGATCTATCGTATCATGATATATGCCTATAGAGTGATATCTTTTAGAGAGGTGCTATTAATTTTTTTTATTTTTTACTGTTTACAGTTTCTTTATATTTTCTTAGTGTGTGAACAGACCTTGTACCACCAATAAATGAGAACTTAAGCAGGTCTTATAACTTTTCAGTTTAAGGCAGTGATTCTCAGCCATAATACTTTTCCTTCCTCCTCCTTGTCCCCCAGGAGACACCTGACAAAGTCTGGAGACATTTTTGACGTTCACAACTAAGGAGGGCTACTGGCATATTATGGGGAGGGGCCAGGGAAGCTTCTCAACACTCCATTCCTCCTGCACAGGACAGCCCTGCATGCATACACACACAGAGAAAACTGACCTAAAATGTCAATAGCGCCCAGGTTAAGTACCCTGCTTGAACGTAGTATAAAATATTATGATCTTTTAAAGTGGCATATATTGCCTTCATTCTGTATTGAGCACTGTCCAATCTCATGTAATAATCAAAACTTTAACTTAGTTTAAAATTAAAATTCTACTCTTTCCCTAACTGGAAGGAAGGCAGGAAGTTTTCCTTTCTTTCCCTAGCCTTACACTTCATCCTGACTTCCCATCTTGCTAATACAAGTTTGCAACAACTTAGTTGCAACAAGTTTGCAAACACAAGTTTGCAAAAGAGGGGAAGAATGATGCAAAAGCATCCTTATTTGACCAGTTATAATAAAGCTTTTCATACTCTAGGCCAAGGATACTTTTTATTTTTTTTATTTTTATTAAATTTATTGAGGTAATACTGGTTAATAAAATTATATGGGTTTCAGATATACGATTCTATAATACATTAGCTGTATGTTGTATTGTGTGTTCACCACCCCAGTTCAAGTCTCCTTCCATCACCATTTATTTCTCTGTACCCTCTTCTTCCTCCCTCCACCCCTCTTTCGTTCTGGTAATCACCGTACTGTTGTCTGAGTCTATGAGTTTTTTCTCTTTGCTTAATGCCTCCACCTTTTATCCCAGTTCCACAATCCCCTTCCCTTCTAATCTGGTCTCTAAATCTATGAGTCTGGCTCTATTTTGTTTGCTAATATATTTTGTTCATTAGATTCTACATGTAAGTGAAATTATATGGTACTTGTCTTTCTCTGACTGACTTATTTTCATTTAGCATGATACTCTGTGAGTCCATCCATGCTGTCACAAAGGGTAATAGTTCCTTCCTTTTCATGGCCAAGTAGTACTCCATTGTGTAAATGTCGCCCAGCTTTTTTATCCACTCGTCTAGTGATGGGAACTTGGGCTGCTTCCAAATCTTGGGTGTTGTAAATAATGCTGGTATGAAATAAAGGTGTATGTATGTATTCTTTTGAATTAGTGTTTGGGTTTTGTTGGATATACTCCTAGAAGTGGAATAACTAGGTCATAAAGCAGTTCCATTTTTAATTTTGGGGGGTAATCCCATACTGCTTTTCACAGTGGCTTCACCAATCTGCATTCCTACCCACAAGTCACCAGGGTTCCCTTTTCTACACGTGCATGCCAACACTTGTTTGCTGATTTATTGGTGATAGCCATTCTGGCAGGTGTGAGGTGATATTTAAGTGCCATTGTGGTTCTAATTTCCATTTCTCTGATAATTAGTGACTGTGAGCATCTCTTCATGTGTCTGTTGGCCATCTGTGTGTCCTCTTTGGAGAAGCATCTGTCTACTCAGGCCCTTTACCCTTTTTTTAATTGCATTGTTTGTTTTGGTGTTGAGTTTCATAAATTCTTTATAAATTTTGGATATTAACCCCCTCAGATGTATGATTGGTGAATATTTCTCCTATTCTGTGGGTTGTCTTTTCATTTTGTTAATGGTTTGTTTTTTTTTCTGTGCAAAAACTTCTTAGTTTGATGTGGTCCCATGTATTTATTTTTTTCTTTTGTTTCCCTTCCTTGTGGAGATACATCAGAAAAAAAATATTGCTACAAGAAATGTCCGAATTTTCACTGCCTATGTTTTCTTCTAGAGTTTTTATAGTTTCAAGTATAACATTTAAGTCTAATCTATTCTGAGTTTATGCTCGTGTGTGGGGTGACAAGGCGGTCTAGTTTCAGGCAGACTTTTAAAAGCAGACAGTCTCCCTTAGACACTTCTGTGGGTTCCTCTGAAACCCCATTAGGAACATTTAGAGGAACATCCCCATTAGAGGATTTGACTTCAAATCCTCTAATTTCAGGCAACTTATTTTTTCCACCATCAACTCCTTTCTAAGTCCCCCCACCCCACCCCACCCTCTTTCTCTCTCCCTCTTTCTGAGTTTGTCAGAAGGGAATAGGATAGCTCAAGTCTAGCTTCCTTACAAGGAGAAGCTAGAAAAAGTGTTTTTTTTTAAATCCAGTAACTCCTTTAGAAATGTATTTGATTGAAATCTTTCAATTTTAAAGGAGTAAATGAGCCCCTGATATTTTTATTTCCCTCCTCCTATTATTTCACCAATACTCAAATAAATTAGGATATCAGGTGACAGTTCTGTGAGACTGATCCCATATCCAGACTCAACCTCAGACAAGTTACTTACCCTCTTTGCCTCAGCTTTATCTCTAAAATATGTATAATTATTTTACAAAAATATTTCAAAAGGTCATTGTGAGAATTGATCCAGTACATTTTGCTATATGCTAAGCAATATTTGAGATATTGGGGACACATTAGGGAAAAACATTTATAAAAGTAGGTTTAAAAACCTACATTATATAATAGTTACAAAAAGTCTGGATGATTACATAACATCAAAATAAACATTTTCAGGTTAAAAAAAAAAAACCTACCCACATGGAGATACATTGCAGTAGAATAAATTTATATCATGTTAGCTTTTTTGGAAAATACCAAGCACATAGTCAGTTTTCAATGCCTTTTAGATATACATATTAATCCACTTGAATGATTGGTTTATTCTAAAGCATGATTTGAGAGGAAAATAGGTTTTTGAATACCTAAATAAATACGCCAAATCCTCGTATTATGTCAATAATTGGGTTAAGACAATAGAGGGCCCAGTTAATATCAATGTATTATCTTATAGAGATAATGAATGCCTATCAGTTATTCATAGTAAGATACCTTCAGTATATTTAGACTCTATGTGTAAGGAAGGTCCAGACCTTAAGTGCTAGGCTGAATTGAATTTATAGCCTTTAGCATGGAGGCTGATGACCAGTAGTCATTCAGCAAATATTTGCTCAGCACTGAGTTTGACACACACGTAATTTTGAAGGTACAAGTGAGGAGAGGGAGCTGAGGATAGGGGAGGGCTGAAGACATGGGAGAAGTTTGAGACCAGTTCGTGTTTCAGATTTCCCCTGTAAATGCTGGTGATTTTGACATCAACAAGAAGAATAAGAAGCATCTGCTTCAGAAAAAGAAATCACTTTGGATTAACATTAAAAAAAAAGATTGACAAAATTATTTTGGCAAGCGGGGCATTTGAAAGTACCTGAGTTACCTACAGGACCTATACAATCATAATTAATTGATAACAATTCTAAAGTGTTTCTCTCTTGTTTAGATGAGTTTTTGTTTGAGGAAAAATTTGTGAATAGGTATAGATAAGTAGAATTGTCCAGGAAGGGTTATCATGTTAACTACCAGGGAATAAAGGTGAAAGTGAATTGTGACTATAAGGAGCTGAGCACATTCTCACTGCACATTCCTGTTGCGGCAGAGCTAGCACGTTCCTAGGGGCAAATTGTTACTCATATGCCCTGTCTGGGCAGGAGGGCTTAAGCCATTAATTCAGGGAGTTATTCCATAGCTACTGTTTTCTATTCATATTAGCATAAAGTAATAATCATAAAGGAGAAATTCACTGAAAGTCTCTAACTTTTTTTTATCTCCAGTGTTCAGACTGCAACATAGTGCTTCTGATACAAGCGACAAAAAACGAGTTAAAAGCAGATTAAAGAAGTTTATTACCCGAAGACCTTCCCTGAAAAGTCTACAAGAAAAAGGACTTATTAAAGGTACAGGACATTTTGTACTTTTAGTATAATAGTGTTAAATGAATGTGCCTCTGTGTCCATAGCTAGTCAGATATAAAATAATATTAGGAATAGTTTATTCTTTTTTTGGTTACTTATTAAATGTTCTGCTCTATAAGAGAGAAAGAAATAATCGTCCAGAAAACATAATCCTGAGAAGATAAAGGATGCATCATGGGATTGTTGTAAAAAAGCTACCCAGTTTTTTCCTCAGAGGATCTGAGCTCTGCAGCAAGAATGAAGAAGGGGTGTCTTGGTGGCCCATCAGAATGACTCCACATCTTAATACCTCTGGGCAACCCCAGTTCATACCTATTGCCCCAGTGTACTCAGTAACAGCAGCCCTTTCCACTCTCAGGCATGTGCTGATTTGCACGATCAGTTATCTGATCACCCTAGTCATAGTCTGAAGGAATTGCCAGGAAGAAGTACTGGGAAGAAAGTCCAAGTACAGACTAGCACCATGAAAATTTGGGAGTTTGAAACCTGGAAGACGGAGAACTCAAACTAGCTTAAATAAGCAGGTTCTTTTGCAAATATACCTGCAGGAAAGATGAAATATTCTAGAGCAACCTAGCCACCAGAATAAAATAACATCGACTCTGTCATTAGGCTAATTAGAATTCAGACCTTGGTTCTACCACTCATTTGTAATGATGTTGAACAAATTACGATCTCTCTGAGCCTTGAATATTGTAACTGTTAAATGGAAATAGTTATACCCACCATTGAAAGAACTATTGAGAGAAGTAAATGAGATAATTCGTGTAAAGCATTTTTCTTTTTTATTGTTACTCAATTACAGTTGTTCTGATTTCCCCTTACTGTTATTAATATTGTTATTATTTATTATTACTGTTGTTATTACTGTTAATATGACAGATAGATGAAAGGATGAATGGATAGATCAAACCAGTGATATAGATTTCTGTAACAGGAAATTAATTTACAGGTGAAACAGCAAAAATGTATTATTTTTCTGACTAAGAAAATACATGTGTCAAGTTCATTATTCTCCCTATTTTTCACATTTTCTAACTTATGAATGTGATTTGTAAATTAAATTTAAAAAACTTAGAAAATGGATAAAATAACTCTTGAAACAAACTCTGAGAACAAAGTTAAAAGACTGATTCTTATAGAAGTCAAAGGTGATTTAGTGTACAATAATTTTTCAGGAAGAGGGCAAAGCAGATTCTCATATTTTTAGCAATACTTAATATGAGGATTATTTAAATAGTGTACAGTATGTAACCTACCAATTTTAATCCATTTCAAAGCAGTTTAACATATCACAAAAATCATCTGTATTCTGAACCAATCAGAAAGGTGAAATTTTGTGATACACATAGGTATCACTAAGAGGGTGGAAGATTCTTAGAATGTATGAATTTGTGGGTAGAAATAGCACATACTCCAAAGCTATTCATCTCGGACTGCATCACTGCAACTGTCCTTTCTAGTGCCCTAGACAGTATTTGGTCCTCTACAGATTCAATTATATATAGTAATATACTACTACCTTTATTTCTACGTTAGAGATCACCCCATAGGTCACCATTTTCTTAGACAGGATTCAGTCACAGATTACCTGCCATCTTGAAAAATATATGAAGCCAGATCATTAGCCTGAACAATCTCAATCTGACATAAAGTTTAAAATTTTTCAGGATGCTGGCAAAATGAAAATTCTTTTAATTCAGTGGCATGTTCTGGCCCAATCAAAATGCTAAGGAATTAGTAAGAATTAGTAACTGCAGTACTCTCGAATTGGCCTCCAAAAGTGGCAGAGGACTCTGATGCCTAGTGCAGTCTTCATAGGGATGCAATGGAACCTCTGAACACTCTCGGCTCTGCACACTCCCTATCTCAGAGTGCCATTAAATTCACACCGTAGTGGCCAATGAGTCAGTATTCATTAGTAGGGCTATGGAAAATCTTTGTGAAATTCTGATTTGGTAAGCTGCTATTGTTGTCTTCAGTGAAATTTTATTCCAAATACAGATCGTTATGCAAATATAGCCACTTCTTGGGTTACTTTCAATTTTCACTGTGGATTTTTTAAAGGCTTTTTACTGAGATTTTTTTTAAGTAAGTAAAAAGCATTAAACCAATTTTTAGAGCTACAGGCCCAGTAAAATTGAGTACTTTAAGTTTCTTTTCTCAGCATATCTAAGGCAAAGACTTTGAAAAAGCAATGAAATAAGGGTTTTTGAAAGGTTATAAAAATCATATAAAATAAATTAATGATGAATGTTAAATGGTTAATTTCTCCAAGTTACATGACTTAAGTCTTTCGAGAAAAATTATTTAGGAAAAAAAGGATAATGGCTTTTTAAATTTTCCTGCAGTGTATTTGTTCAAAGATTATGGGTCAAATTCTTGAAACTGTCAAACAGCCCAGATCTGGAATACAGGCCTTCATTATCAAGGTCCAGGAAGCTGTACGTGGTAGTTTGGGGCCAACAGTGTACGGGGCTCCAGACACTTCGCAGGGTTTGATTATTCAGGTAACATCACCAACAAGTTGAGAGGCCTGCACTTCGAATTTGGCCAGTCTTTACGGAGCACCCACTGTGGGTCAGGGAAGGCTGTGCTTTATTAACTTTATAATGCCCCGCATAAATACGAAAAAAGAATTGTCTCAATATCATAGAGTCTAAACTCAGTCACAAACCCTTCAATTTTTTTTGTACTCATGGAGACCTGGCTAATATGTGATTCCACTGGCTCAAGTCTAGATCTGGGAACAGTCACTTGATCCTGCTGCATTTTCTAATTTATTTAATATGACTAATGAGAGGGGTAATTGTGATGCCAGAAAGGGCTAGCAGGTAATTCTGAAAGATCACCCAGTGGAAAGAGATCTTCATAGTTCAAGCGAGTGTCGCATTCATTGTGCCATTTCAGTGGTAGCTCCCGAAAAGTCTTCAATCTCTCCATGTACTTTCACATTTGGCAAGGGGGGAATGGTGAGTGCTTTTTATTACTTTGTTCTTCTTTTTTATTGATTTTATTGGGGTGACACTGGTTAACAAAGTTATACAAGGTTTCAGGAGCACAATTCTACAAGATATCATCTGTGTACCGCACTGTATGTTTATCGCCCCAGTCAGCTCTCCTTCCAGCACCACTTATACCCCCGTTACCCCCTCCACTCCCCCCACACCCCTCCCCTGGCAATCTCCACACAGCTGTCCATGCCCATGAGTTTTTACTTTTTTTCTTTTATTCTCAATCCCTGCCCCCTACCCAACTCCCAAACAGTGAGGGCTTTTTCAATGTATGAGTTTATTGCCTTGAACCTCTCATTGGAAATAAAACTCTAATCAGTTTGATACATAAATTATAGGCCAGAGGGCACATTTTAGGGTGGTAGGTGTGATTGTACATACCCTCTATTTGCTTTTGAAACTGAAGTAATAACCCTTTAGCATCAACCAAACTACACTATATAATCTTTCAATTGACAGCATTGACATCCAAGAACAGAAAACAATTGGACACAACATTTTCAGAAAATATAAAAATTGTGTATTATTTTTAGGAGTCACTAGTGTTTCTTTATATCAAGTGATAGAGTTAGAGAGAATTGTATGTTTAGAAAGTGGTTTCTTTCATTTTAATATGGGCAAAACCGTACTGGATGGTATTACTAGAAATTGAAAGCATGCTGGATTACTTCTATTTTTTAAATCAGTACATTACAAAGAAAACCACCTGTTTAAAGATTAACTAGTATGTCTGCAGGATATGATACAAGGCAGAGCTTTCCTCCCTCATCTCCGTTTTGATCCTTCAGGCCACACTTTGGAAGCACTTCTATTTCTAGTTCTTCTGGTGGTTGCTGCCATATCTTACATTACTGTTATTTGGAGCATAGGCTAGTTTATTTTTGTCAGCATTTTCCTTACACGTCTTGATTTGTCAGGCTTAGATATTACCTCATTTTTGTTTTTTGTTTTTTGGGTTTCTTTTACAATAGCATGAATTCAACTTAATTAAATGAGACCTCATCTACCTGGCCCTTCTCCTCCCCAAATACTCATGCTCAAATACAGCTGGCCTGGCTGCTTCCACTGGCTTTCTCTTCAACATTCATAATACTTAAATCTCTATTTATTGTTCTATTAGCCACAGAAGATGGAGACTTAATGCTTCTATTGACATGATGAGAAATTTATTGCCCTCTTCCTTTCTCATCTCTGCCTTTGCTATCGTGATGTATATTTCATCATGAAAATTTGTATTAGTTCACTAATTTCTATAATTTTAACTTTTTTATAGTTGATTCTAAAAGTTAAACACTAAAAACAGCATTCATAAGACTGTTTGTCTATAACATTGTTTACTCCGATGCCAAGCATTGCCTTCCTTCTCTGTTCTTACAGTATCGTGAGCTCTGTGGCTCTCAGAGTGATGCCCCTTGATCACAGGGGAAAAGATTCTCCTTTCTTTTACATTTGAAGCTTATGATAGTGTATTTACACTATTTCAGAAACACAATCAAGCCTCTCATTACCTCCATAGTTTACATCAAAATGTGAAAAAATTAGTCAACAGCATATATTTTATATTGATTATGTAAATAATATGCAATCTTTGGCCAAGTCATGTGCCAAATTGGATTAGTACATCCATGGGTCCAATGCTGTGCCTTGTGTGCTTACATTAATTACATTCTTACATTTGAAGCTTGTGCTTCATCACTTACTTATAATCAACCTCTATTTGAGTTTGATATATTGTTTAATTGAGAATTTCTCATACAGATTTTTTCCCCACAGTTTAATTTTTTATTGCTTTCTGGGCCTTTACATCATTAAGAGTTTAAGCATCTCAATTAAACAGTCTATAAATTCTAGTCCCTGGAATGCCTTTTAGAGTCCTTCCACCATCTTACACTAATTTGAGTTGGTTGCTTTCCAGGCTTCACCTTTATTACCCTGTGACTTCCTTTCACTAACTTTCTGAGTTGTTTT